ATATAAATAAAATTTACACAAAAATTAATATTTAGTTATATGTGTTATGAATAGATGTGTTTATTTTGTTTTTATTTATAAACACATTTACTTACTCGCAAATTCTGCAAAATAAAAGTATATTACGAATAAATATTAAGTATTAATTAACAGTGAATAGTACAAAAGAAAAAAAGATCTAAATTATAAAATTCTAAGTCAAAAATTAATAATGTACTCAACAAAAATTTGAATTTAATGTTATTGTTTTTCTATTTAACTTAGATCTCATAAACTTGTTGGTACTGATAAAACTGTTTTAATAGACTCAAATAATTAATACGCTTTAATAGAATGTTTTATAGTAGACTAAAATCTAATAAACATTTTTATACTGATCTAATTAAAGTGTTAATTACTTGTAAGTTTAGAAACCAAAATTTTAAACTTAAACAATTGCATTTTAAGCCGAGAATACGAATGCAAATTATTGATATTTGACCGACAGTAGAATAATATAATTGGATTTCAAAGTTGATTTAATTAAATTAGTTAAAAATAGATTATGGAACTAACTTTTTCTTTCATCAAGTATTATATTTACAATACTATATTTATTATTTAGTTATTAATACTATATCTATTATTTCAACATTATTTTGTGACCAATTGTATTTTCAAATATTGAATATTTCTATGCCCACCACCATTAAAAATAATTAAACCAAGGGGTTTTTATAAGTTAGAAAAATATTTTTACAACAATAATACAACCATAACCAAAATCTTTGATTTAAATAAATCTATTAGATTTACCTTTAAAGGATTTACCACCTTTTGTAGCTAAAATGTTAAATTAACAACTATTATTAATAATTATTCTTAGTATAATTTATTATTTAACTAAATTAACTAAAAAAATATATACATTTTTTTAATTCCCATTAAAATTTTAAAGTATTATTTTAGAATATTAATTATATCTAGCTGGAGTTCAAAACTTAAAAATGTGTATAGAAAGTAGAACTTTTTTAACTTAATTTTAAACTATCGTATAACTATTCGAATGGTGTTTATACAACTGAATAGTATATTTTTAACATAAACTATCGAATATTTTTGGAATCACTATCGAATAGTTCGAATAGTGGACAGCTTCGATTAGTTCAATAGTTACTATTCGATATTTCCTATTACTAATTTAAATGATTACTATGAGTAATGTCTAGCTTTTTTTTATATTACTCTCTAATAGATAAATACCATTAGATTCAAAGAGATAATAAACAATGTTTAATTTCCTTTTTTTTAATAACTCAAACAAAGGGTTTTTAACCAGTTAAAGAAATATTTTTTCAACCTTAAATGTTCAATCTTTTATTTAAATAAATTGTATAGACTTACGTGTGTTACTGTTATTACAATGCACTGCTAAAAAATATAATTTTGTGATTATCTTTTAATTATTTTATTGTTGGTGTGGTGGGATTAAAAAATAAGATGATGGTTATTGGTTCTATTTTGGAAATAAATTATTTGCAGTAGTACATGACATAAAGAGCTTTTGTGAATATATGTTAAATTATATAATTATTTATAGAATTACAGTATTATAATTGTATAAATCATTTAT